GAGGAGCCCAGGAGGCCGGGGGTGGTGGTGGTGGGGAAGGAGGACTCTGGGGCCCGGCCCCCGCTGGCCCTTCCCCCGGAGGCTCCGGCGGCGGGCACCCCTCGTGGACAGCAGACGCCCTGGAGGCCACCCTAAGCCCCCTCAGCAACGAGGGGGACTCGCCCGCCCGAGTCGCGAACGCCTCCCCCGTCGCGGGTGGGTGGCTGGGGCCGGGGGGGCCGCGACTGCCCCGAGGTCACCCGCCTGGCCGCCCGTGGAGCAGAAGCGGGGGGGGGGCTAGAGCCCACCCCTCCTAAGGTCCAATGCTCCCTCCAAGCTGTGCAGGGGATTTTACTTGGTGAGCTCCTGGCATGAAAGTGGTGAGCGGGCGATTCGGCTCCTGCATCAGTCAGTTTGTCCTGGAGCTCTCTTTCCTGAGCTAAGGGAAAAAATGTGTGCGCTGGAGGCTAGAAAACTATGAGCAAGCTCACACTCACTCAGCTGAGAGGGAACACGGCTCCTAACCACGGCATCCGACGGGCTCTCCCTTAACTAGGCCTGCCAGATCTCGCCAAATCACGGCAAGGGGGATCTGCGTGTCTTTGCAGAATCCTCGCCACGGGGATGGCAAGACACGCTGCACCACCGTCGCCGGGACATGACAGGTAGCATCACAGCGACGGCAACACGTCTCGCTGTCCCCGCCGCAAGGATTCTGTGAAGACCTACAATCCCCCCCACACGGCTTGGCAACCCTACCCTTAACCACGACGCCCAACTGTGGATTGGCCCCGCTGTGTGACCCTGAGCCAACCATGGCTGCTCTCCTGTTCTTACGTGTTCTATCCAAGGAAGTTCTTTTTCCGAAGCTGGGACAGACGGCACTTGAAAAGCACACTTCACAAGCACGGCTCAATCGGAGAACTGGGAGATAAAGAGAGAACGTCTCCCCCGCTCGGCCAGCACCCGCGGAGGAACAGACACGGTCAGCTGAGTGCTGAGGAGGCGCATTCCAGAAGGCAGCCCCTCAGTTTCTGGCAGAGTTTTGGAGTCAGAGAGTCTGGCAAGATACCTCAAGACAGGCTCACCTGCAGAGTGAAAGTAAAAGAAAAGACTCCTCTTAACTGTGTTCTCTCTATAACCTGAGGAGGAATTCAGATGAAGAATCCAAAGTCTACGTGTCAGCACAAGCTGAAGTCCGGTTTTATCCTGGGAGAGAGATTTGGCAAGAGTGACACGGGCAGTGTGTGGAAAAACCCCTTTCGAGACAGAAAAGGAACCCAGTTAATTCCTCCGAGCTGAAGAGGATTAATTCCTGCCCAGTGTCAAACAGAGTCTCGCTCCGAGGAGGACCCTAGTCTGCTGTAAAAGGAAAACTGTTTTAGACATCTCAGGAAATAGAAATAAAGCTGTAATTTACCAAACCGGGGGGGGGGGGGGTGAGTTAGGTTCACAAAGACAATGACCAACTTCTGGAAATCTGAACTGCCATAGGAAACTCTGAGGAAGCATTGTGGCTGTAACTAAAACACTAAGTATAAATACCTGTTATTGCTAAGAACTATGAATACTTGAAAATAAGCTTTAATAACAATCATTTTGCCTGTTCAAAGAAATGAATTCTGCCTTATCAACTTTTACCCCAGCAATCCCAATCCCTGACTCACCTATTGAATAAACTTGTTCCTTTGTTTTACTGTTAAACTGTCTCCAGCGCCATTTTAAAAAGGGAAATAAGAAGAGGGCTCCTGCTTTTCTTCAAGTTCCTTGGGCTGGGCTAAAAGCCAAATTATATTCTGTGGGACAGAAATTGTTTCAAAAACCTCTGTTATTTACACGCTACCATGGACTGCTCTGTCACGGCAGGGAACCAAAGAATTGTGGTGGGAAGGTTCATGCCAGTGGGGAGAGTGAAAGGGGTCCATAGTCGCAGCCTGTAAGAGAAGTGGTGTGGAAAATTTGTGGAAACTGTATTTCTACAACACAGTCAAATTCTGTGCCCATTCAGTTAGAAGCCTCTCCTGGCAAGTCCTATCTTTGGCTTAACACCTCCGCCTTTGCTCCCCCAGCTGAAAGAAGGCATCTATCTACACGTGGTCATATGTGAACCCCTTTCTCCTTTGCTTCTTACCCTTTGCCACCTTCTCTACTGTCGAAAAACTGCAAGGCTAGGACTGTTCGCTTATGTTGGTCTGTAAAGTGCAACATCACTTCCATGGAGTCCTGTAAATAGCAGGGACCATAGGGTTGGGGGGCATGGAGAGGTTACATCCAAAGAAGATTGCCTCCTTAGTAGAGGAAGCCTCTCTCTGTCCAGCCTCTGTGCATTCCTGGTCTAGAAGTAATCGTGTGATTATTTTTTCCCCCTAGATGTAAAAGGTAATCCATGTGAAGACCATTGCATATTGCAGCATTCAAACAGGTGAGCATTCTCACAGCCTGTTCTTCTGCATGTTTATTTGGAAATAAGTCCCCCTTGGTGGGGCCCGTTCCGAAAGGGGTCAGGCATAGGTTGCATCACACACACTCCTGATGGGATAACAAGAACCACTGTGACATAGTGATTACAGAAGGAAAGAAGAAGAGATTGGATTTCTACCCCGCCCTTCACTCGGGAGTCTCAGAGCAGCTTACAAACTCCTTCCCCTCCTCCTGACAGACACCCTGTGAGGTAGGCGGGGCTGAGAGAGCTCTTGACAGAAACTGCTCTTTTCAAGAACAGCTCTGACAGAGCTACAGCTTGCCCAAGGTCATCCAGCAGCTGCGAGTGGAGGAGGGGGGAATCAAACCTGGTTCTCCCAGATTAGAGTACATGCATTTAACCACTACACCAAACTGGCTTAAATTGGTTATTTCAGGGCTCAGTTACACCACTGAGGTTAAACCCCATTATCAGGACCAAGATACACATTTATCCCATTTAATTTAAACCTTTAAAAGACAGTGGGATTATATTGATCCAAATAAAAGGAAGAAAATACTGTCGTCAATCTTCTCCAACTTCATACTACATGGTTTCCTCAAAATGAATGAGGTAAATTGCCCTTTAACCTTTATACCGTACCCTAGGGCTCCCCAGCATAGTGGCCGTTTACCCCCTTGGTGCTGGGTGAGCTTTCCAGAAAGCGGATGGGGCCGTGGTAAGGCAGGGCTTGTATTGGCGGCCCTCATTCAAATGAAAGGGTTTTGCCCTGGAGCATCAAGAGGACTGGTAAGCCCCTGAGCTTCCCTTAGTCAGTGTGCGGCTCCCTTCCCCCTTCAGGCTTTCCTTCTTCCCAGGAGGTGTGGAGGGAGGTATTCCATTTAGCTCTGCCCCCTGGGGAAAGCCATTTTGGGTTTGGCTCATTCAACAAATCAAGTCTCCGGTGGCTTGTTCGTGGGGCGGTGCGTAAAAAGGTACATTTCCACACATACACTGCTTGTGGGCATCCAGAGGCAGACCACTGTTCAGAAGTGAGACAGAATATGGGACTATGTAGATGGCCTGATCCTGCCAGGATGTTCTTGGTTTTGATTATTTTGTGTAGCTTTAAGAAAAGCTGTGTGTCCTGTTCTTGATCCAGCTGAGGCGACCACTGGTCTGAACTGCCTTAAACAAATGCATAAAATTACCTGCAGATCCAAATATGCAAACTCTTTGCGCATTGCGTTGAAATTTACTGTGCACGAGGCAGCACTTCTGCAGGTAAAATTGGGGAGAGCCTTGTATTGAGGCCACCCTGCCATTTTCCCAGATGCTTCCGTACATTCTGTTTGTCCTAGCTCTGTTGTGTACTTCCCTTCAGGAGCTGGGATAGAAAGTATGCTGGATTTCCCCAAATGAAACATGCATGGGAGGGTGTAACTTCAGATGAAGGGCCTGCACTGAATTTATGACCCTGGCCATGCAAGACTGAACAGATTCCCAAAATGGAGCCTAAGTGGATAATGGTTCTCGTTTTCTTTTCTTGTAGAATTTGTGTCATTGCTCTAGCAGACGCCCATCCTGTTTTACAGAAGGGAAAAGCAATCGAGAGAATTAGCTACCAGATCAGCGCAAACTGCAGCAGGCTGCAAAATAAAGTCTCTGGGAAGTCAAAACGGGTATGGCGCACTTCATCCTGACCTCGGCTGAAAACCAAAGCCTTGATATCAGGGGGTGCCCCTTGTACAAATGTGCAAGTCTTTCAGGGTGCCACAAGACTCACATTTTTTACCATCATGCCTCTGTGCCTCTCTCGCTTCCCTGAGCTTTGTGGTAGCTTGGAGCGGCTGATGGCGCCTCACAGGCTGATAGTTGTTAACTCACCGCTTAGGCTTGTTAAAATCTTTGGCCTGCCCTCTGAACACATCATTGCCCATTGATTATAGCAACAAATCAAGTAAAGGCCTAACCAGCATCAGACCATTATTTCTGGATTCTCCTCTTCCCTATTCCAAGGTCTCAAGGCAGGTTACAATATATATTATCCTGCAAAGCCAGTGAGGTGCTCAGTAATGGACCTAAGGCCAGCCTAATGAGATTCATTCATATCCAGGACTTAGATATTGGGTTCCCTCTATTTGAAACCCATTACTCTGTCCATGAGAGATGCCAAAGCTGTCTCTGGCCAAAAGGGAGAAGGGGAAAGTGTGGTAATCAATAGTCCACAATAGCAATGATTCCTGTCGTCTTGCAGAAAATGTTGTTCCCTCAGAACATCTGTAGTTAGCAAACAGTAGCCAGCCTCTAACTTTCTCATACCTTGTTTCTTCCTAGGGTGCTCAGTTTCTAACAGAACTTGCCCCTCTGTGTCGCATTTACTGCTCCGATGGGGAAGAATATACCATATACAGGTAGATTGATAAGAGTTTTGTGTTTGTAGTCTTGAATCGTTCTTGCTGCTTTTACTAAACTGCAAATTCTCTGCAGCTGCATTCGAGGGAGATTAATAGAAGTGAACGAAAGCCTTCTCGGCGACCCGTCAATCCTGCAGCAGAAGGTAAGCATTGCCTGGGCCAGCCTTGCCCTCCCCCCCCCCCCCCCGTCTCACTCCTCTCTCTTTTTTCCTCCCCCTTTTAGCCTTTCACAGATGGATACGTTGCAGTTGTACTACCAAAATTTGAGGAAAGCAAAACTATAACTCAGGGGCTTCTGACGCGGAAAGAGTATGAAGAGGTTTTGTCAAAACGTTTTAATTCCGCTTCTTGATGACCTAGTTCTACACACAGCAGATAACAATACACAGAAGAATGAAGTATTTCATAGTTGAAATGTGGACGACAGGTGACTTCTGGGGTATCCTACTTAAGGGGACGCAAGACTGGATACAGGAATCTTCAGTTTATTATAGCCACATGATTGGAAAGCTGTTCGTTTCCACAAGACAGAGTAAACTGAATGAGTAACACTGAATGTTAATCCTAAACCTGTAAGGAAGCATGTGCAGGACTGAACACACGACCATCAAAGGTTGCTTGATCCTGCCCTGAAATGCAGGAGTGCGGGGGGGGGGGCAGTGCTGAAATAACTACCTTGCTCCTTTAGAAATGAGAAGATTTTAATGCCAATAAAAGGGTCTTTTTAAGATCCATGTTTCATTAGTAAAGTGTGTTTGTTTCTTTAGTAAGTCCAAAAATGATGAACTACCATGGTGTGATCTTGTTACCATGAAGATTCAGATGGCTGTAATAATCATCCAGTTCCAGAGAGTTGGGTGGGAATCCACCCGCAGAAAGAGACATTCACTGGCAAACAGCAGGGCTTGGATCCAGCAACAGTGTCCATCCACGGACTGCGACTTCGTCCTGTCTCTTGCCTCCCCCTGCAGCCCATGAATGCCTCCTGCAGTACTGCTCCTGGGGGACAGGCGCCCACCCCCCTGAAACGGGGAGCCCAGGGGGGGGAAGGGGCAGAAATCCTCTGTGGGTGCCCGACCCCAAGATATTCAGTGGTGTTGGCTGGCCTAAGATGAAGGGGTGTGTGTGGGGGGGTAATGGGGGGAAGTGCGGAACAAGGGGTGTTTAACCATGAGGCTAGTTGGCTGCCCCTCACGTCGACAGACAGCCCTCGTCTTTCCCAAGAGTCCCCAGTCTGCACCCCCCTGCTTGCTACAGCACATCTTGTCTGTCATCAGGGGAGGTTTCCTAAGAGAGGGCTGTTTACCGTTTTCAATATAGCTATGATGCCAGGACCATAATGGCTAGTGATTCAGCACCGTTGTGCAGGAGCGAAATGACGTTCCACTTAAGACCGCTTAAGGCACCCGTTCAGAACAAGCCTGGAGTACTTTTCGGGTCTGAGGCTCAAGTAATGCCCCTTGTTGTGCTAGTGACTGGCTCCAAACCACTGCAGGCAGTTCAAAATCCCTCTTAAGTGGATAAAACTGTCTTTGTGACGCCACAGTTTCTAAGGCACGCAAAGTAACTTGGACTTACTCGAATCAACTGAACTTGCTTGAGTCACTTGAGTCAGTGCTTGGATCCTACAGTGACAATTCTACTAGTACAGAGGTGTGCACAATATTAAAGAGAGCCTAAAATAAGCTCTTAACCGTAACTGGCTTCCTCAACGCTACTAATATTTTTCATTTTTAGCTTAAAGTAGTTGGCAAATGTGTTCATGAAAAGGGAAGTTTCCAGAAGGCTCTCATTAAACCTTTCTTGTAATCCGTTGATGCATCCAGAAGAGGTAGACTAAGTCCAGCCCTCAGGAGAAGGCACCGTCTGGCCCGCCCCCCCCCCCCCAGCCGTCTGCCTTCCCAGTTAGTCCCTTTTTGAAGCAGCCTACCAGCAAAACTAGGCAGCGAGGGTAGGATCTTAGCCCCACATTCATGCCGAGTACAAAACCCCGTCGCTTGCCATGTAGTGTTTCCAAGAACATCCAGTTTCTTTGTATGGGCATCCACAGCAGCATCTTTGGAGCAGAAGAGCAAAATATTCACAAACGTACAAGATTATAAAAATAGCAGTATTAATGAGTGAACAAAGAAATATATTCACATCACAAAAATATGCAGCTGTTAAAAGCGGACTGTTGCTTTTGCTAACTGCCATGCGCCAAGACATCTATCAGATGTGGAAAGGTTACAAGCGCTTATTTCTAGCCTGGATTCGCCGTTCTCAAAAGAAAGTAACTGGGAGGGGCTTAGCATGCCACTCCCATACAGGAATGTCTCTGTTTCCAAATAAAGGCTTTAGAAATGTGTGTTTTCCAGAAGTGTGAGGTCCGCTACGTGTTGTTTCAGAGACTCGATTCCAAGGGAGTCGGTGTTCCCTGCGGGGCTGCCGCGGTCTTTCGTGGCGGCATGGAAGCCGTTTTCTCTCCAGGGACGGTGCCCTCTAAGGTAGCCATTTCCTGTTCCGTGCTGCAAGAAAGGTGTTTTAGAAGAAATCAAAGTGGTCTCTCAACCAGAAATCGGTACATCTTGTCGCATTTATGTGTGTGTCCACTCACTTTTCTCAACAACTTGCAGCCTAATGGCAGTACTTGGCCCAGAACGTTCAGAATACGCCTGGCTTCTTGAATACAGGCCTCCACCTAAGTACAGAAACAAGTTCCGGCATCAAGCGGCTTGTTAAAAACAAGGCAAGCATTTTCACAGCAAGCATTTCCATATTTTTATTGAGCACGGTCATTCGTGGCTTGACATCCCTGGCAGCTCTGTTTGCCCTGCTCTGTCCTGCTCGGGGGGGGGGGGACCAGGGCTTGGTGGCAGAGCCTCTTTGCAGGTTCAATCCTTGGCATTGCCGGTCAGCAGATGTTGTGAAAGATCTCTGACCTGCAACCCTGGAGAGCTACTGCCGGTCACAGTGGACAACACTGACTGTCATAGACCGATAGATTCTGACTCTGAAGCAGGCAGCTTCAGGTGTCCTTTTGGGACAACCACCAAGGAAGATGGGGGTTTGCTACCCAGAGGAAGGCCCTGGCAAACCACCTCTGCTCCTCTCTTGCTCTGAGAACCCCATGGTCCTGGGGTTGCCAAGACTCAGTTGCAGCTCAGTGGCACATTCTTCCTACTGGACTGTGCCCTAAAAATGCAGACAAATGAAGATCTTTAACCAACGAACCCTCTGGCTTTTAACGGATTGGCTAAACTCTTCAGCACCTGAGATGTGTGCCTTGTTTGTACAGGGGCCTTGATGAAGAGGAGCTGGTCTCCGAAAAACAAAGCAACCTCTAGGGAAAGCCCGCCACTCACTGCTTTTGAGAACGGTGCCTTTGTCACAGCTGTGAAGCAAGCACGGCTTCATCAGAACCATCAGTGTTATTCAACCAATCAGTCCTATAGCTGTGTTCCTGACGGGAACGTGCTCGTGGGCAAGACGACCATTTGTTTTTATATTCAAATACCTCCTCAAGTGGGCAAGACAGGCCATTATAGCTACTGTCGAGTAACAACAGCACCACTGACCCACCTCAATCCAGGCATTGTATGCTGCTGGGAAGCTTAGACCCAGACTATACAGTACTGTCTCCCAGGGTGCTGATGAGGCTGATGCCTGTTCACGTATTAGCAACGGAGCAAGCGCAGAGCAACACCCACACGACTAATGTGCACAGCTTTGCTGGAGTAACAGATGACAAAAATACGATATGAAACTAGGCCTATCCCAGAGCAATGCTTTGTTAAAGCTCTTATTAAAATAGCTCACCTTTGTAAAAATTGCTGATTTACCCTGAACGTGGGCTGTAGCTGTGACCTGAAGCTGCCGATACGCAGGGACCATCTTTTCGATCTCCTGCAGAAGCAACGGCTTGTCATCGTCCTCCAACTGCAAGAGATTGCATTTGGTTAAGCCTGGGGAAGGGTTGCCAAATTTATACAAGGGAAGAAGTCGGCACAAATGAGGAAAAGCCACATTCTTGTTCTAACTAAGCACAGAAAAGCAGAGATAAAAATAGCCAGTATTTATATGCTGCACAGTACCTGATTAGAAAATGCAAGGAGGGCTGAGACGAGCTTTAATCCTTCAGCAGCAAAGGCCTAAGGTGGGGAGGAAAAGGCAAAACGGGAAAAATCAAGCAAGATTGTGACCCTGAGCCCTACTCCTCTCCAACAACACACTGCAGGCCTGCTCAGTTTGGGACCCATTCTGCGGCGGCGGCGGTGGCGGGGAGGAGGGGGAGATGGGACCCAGTGTCATAGACGGGCCAGCTGTAGACTGTGGGGTTCACATGGACAGAGCACCTGGGTTCTGTTATTCCTAGTAGTGTCCTCACACAGACAGAGAAAACCTCCCAGTCGAACACACTCCAGTTCTTCCCTTCCAAGGCTGGTTCAGGCTTGGAGGCTAAAGATGGACCCGGAGAAGCTCTTTGAGGGCAGCTCACAAGACCCTCCTCAGAAGAGGCGCTTCTCTCTCCACCCTGTGGCCAATTCACAATTGCGGGGGGGGGGGGGGGAAATTCTGTACAACACCCATTCAGCACAGAGTGGACTCAGCCAGCCCCGCTGCCCCCGAATCCAACCAACTACACACACACGCCCCGCACAGATACACACACATTGACCTGGTGACATAATTTTTTTTCCAGTTTTGCCCTGATCCCAAAAAACTGTGAGGTTCATCAAGGAAAATGTTTAAATCTAGTGTGGCGGGATTCAGCCTCCAGCTCTTGGACTGTAGAGGGAGCATCGAGGATGTTGTTGCTGCTCCAAACCCATCTATTGACTTCAGGGCTAAGATTTAAAACGACCAGCTTTCACTTGGTTGCTACATTACCTCTGCTTGTTGAAATAGATCCTGGGTAGTTTTCAGAAGCCCTTCCCCCCTAGATGGGTGGGGAAAAGAGAGAAATAATTCCATCAGCAGCCTGAGCAGGGTTGCATCTACAAATCCCAAGACCACAGGAGCGGCAGCAAGAAATGCAAACATGCTGAAGCCAAAATGGTTTTTAAAAAGGGCTTTTCAAGTAGGGGAACAGAAGAGATCTTAATGACTAGAGTGGGACCGGCCAACTTTGCAGAAAATTGCCTTTATCGGGAATCCATACGTGGAGGTGAAATTACTTGGGTTGTTATCCTGTGTGTGAAACATGTCTCCTTACTTGGAGGGCAAGCCCACTGTACTTTGGACTGTTTATACACTACACACAAAAAGGGGAAGCCTGAATACGTGACATGAAGACAGTTAAGAAGGAGGATGAAGAAGAAGAAAAGAAGAGATTGGATTTATACCCCGCCCTTCACTACCCAAAGGTGTCTCAGAGCGGCTTACAAACTCCTTTCCCTTCCCCTCCCCACAACAGACACCCTGTGAGGTGGGTGGGGCTGAGAGAACTCTTGACAGAAACTGCTCTTTTTCAAGGACAGCTGTTATCAGAACCACGGCTCGGCCAAGGTCATCCAGCCAGGTGCAAGTGGAGGAGTGGGGAATCAAACCCGATTCTCCCAGATTAGAGTCCGCCCACTTCACCACCACACCAAACTGGCTCTGGATGCAATGCGAGATGGGGAAAGGGCAGAATATGGACAATTGTGGTAACAGTCGCTTCATTTTTCTTTTAAAGACCAATAACATTTTCCCAGGTAAAAGTTTTGGAGAGTAAAAGCTCACTTCATCAGATACTCATGTATCGGACAAGAAAGCTTTGATTCACAAAAGCTTATGCCCTCGAAAATGTTGCTGGTCCTGAAAGTGCTACAGGTCTTGAATTTTGTTCTAGTACTACAGGCTAACACCTGAAGCTTACTTTTTCCTGTCTCATTAAGGTTCCGAAGAAGAAAGAGCAGAAACCTCAGTTCAGCTTTAAATAATTGTGGGGCTTTGTTAATATCTCTTTGATACAGAATTAAGAGGTGTGCAAATGGGGGGGGGGGGAATCAGGAATTCAGGTCCCCCCAAAATCTCCTGCCAGGTTATTGAGGGTAGTAGGGATGCAACTAGTGGACTGTAATTTAGCAATTTAGCATTCTCTAAAATATCACTAAAATATGGAGCTGCAGTGGCTCAAGTGGTTAAGACACTGAACTGCAGGCTGTGGAAGGTCAGTAGTTCAAGACCCGGGTGCCGCATGACGAAGTGAGCTCCCATCTCTAGTTCCAGCCCCTGCCAACCTAGCAGTTCGAAAGCAAGAAATTGCAGGTAGATAAATAGGTACCACTTCGGTGGGAAGGTAACAGCGTTCCGTGCTCCTTGGTGTTTAGTCATGCCGGCCACATGACCACGGAAACGTCTTCGGACAGTGCTGGCTCTTCGGCTTTGAAACGGAGATGAGCACTGCAGCCCTAGAGTCGGATTCGACTGGCTTGCGAGCAAGGGAGACCTTTACCTTTTTAAAATATCACAACAGATCCTGAGACACCCTCTACTGGATGGAGTGGGGAGCAGTGTTCCCCCTAAGCTGAGTGAGTGTGAGCTGGCTCACAGTTTTTAGCCTCCGGCTCACACGTTTTTGCCTTCACTCAGGAAGGAGGGCTTCAGAGTTGTTTCTGCCGACAGGCCAGCCTTGCAAAAATTGCTGATATTCTCCTGCATCAGCAGAAAGAACACATGAAGACACGACTGTTGATGCGCACGACCTTTTTCAGGGCCAAAGCAGGCATACCAAACGTGCAGCTGCAACTGAAAATGGCAATCTTGCCTGTAGTGCCTTGCTTTGAAATGTCCAGTAAGACTTGCGAAACATTATTATGTTGTGTAACATTCGGCATGCTCTCCGCTCCCGGCAGCCACTGTGGATGAGGGCTAAGGAAATGCATAAAGTTGGGACATCACAATATGAGATGCGCTGGGTCAGTTAGTTCTAATTACAGAAAGGGCGGCAGGAGCTAAACAGCTGCCATTTTTGGTGTCGGCCACACATTTTAGTGCAATGACTTGTCTGAGCCTAAAACAGATGTCAAGAAAGAGAAGTCATATCCTCAAGGAATTTACAATCTAGATTTCGGAAACTGGGGAGATAATAAAGAGAGCAAAGGCAAACATAAGTGTAAATTCTATATCATTAAAGTAAGGGTAAAGGTTCCCTTGCTCGAAAGCCAGTCGAATCCGACTCTAGGGTTGTGGTGCTCATCTCCGTTTCAAAGCCAGCATGACTAAACATCAAGGCGCACGGAACACTGTTCCCACCAAAGGGGTACCTATTGATCTACTTGCAATGTCTTGCTTTCGAACTGCTAGGTTGGCAGGAGCTGGAACTAGAGACGGGAGCTCATTCCGTCATGCGGCACCCGGGTCTCGAACTGCTGAACTATCGACCTTCCACAGCCTGCAGTTCAGTGTCTTAACCACTTGAGCCACCGCAGCTCCTATATCATCCTATATCTATATCATTACCTTGTAAATAAGTACATGGAATAGGCCATGCTGGATAAGCATTGTCCACGCCGCACAATCTCATTTTCCGGGTCATCCCATTTCTCCATCTCAGAGTTGACACGTGAACTCAATTCACACAGGGCGAGGCCTGATTTCCCAAGTCTTGCTTGTTCCTGCAAGTGACAGGAATTATTTGGGAGCCGTCCCTCTTAGCTTACAATGTGCTACTGAGGCTAACAAAATGCCAAACATTTACTAGAAAGCACTCAAAAAAGCACTGACCTCACTATCAAGTCGGACTGGCTTTAAGGACTTCAGATTTGTATTATGCTTCTGTTGAGAAAAAGGGGAATTAATGTAACAGAAAGCCCCGATCAGGGAGCTAAGCAGAGAGATGGATTCTGCTGCACAGGATGGGTTGAATCCGGACTATGCTGGCCATTCCCACCGATTCCTCATTGCAGACCCCCCTCCCATCCCCCTCCCAGAATAACGTCCTGTGGCGATGCGGGGGGAGGCAGGAAAGGTTCTCTTCTGCCATTGGTCATTTAGTCTGGATCCAACCTGACGTTTCGAAACATTACAAATTTGTATTTACAATTATAAACTAATGCTAAAGTTATCCAAGTACTTAAATAAAAAGACTATATAAGCATTAGGGCCACAGTTAATAGACACTTGAATTAAAAGAAAGATCTACCGCAGAAAAGCGAAGCAGAGAACAGGGCAAGCCGAACACAGGGTGGAACGGAGGGCTCGGAGATTTCCCCGTCTCAAGTCTGAATGACCCTCAGACTGGGAGAAGGAGGGGAAACCTCAGGACGCAAGTGGCGTTGACTCGGGTTTCGTAAATGCAGATCCACATCTTGATTGCAATTTGGAGAGCGGATACAGAAATGGAAGCAGATTTCTCTGTCAAAGACATGCAGGGCTGACATTCCTCTGCTGCCACTGAGAAAAGGAGGAGGGGTCGACTGCAGAGGCATTGGTGGGAGGGAGACCATCACTAAAAAAGCGGTCCACTTACCCCTGGCCTGGGCAGAGACAGGTATGCACGCTTCTCTCCTATGAACGACACACACATTTATGGCAAAATTGTTCATGCACATTCCCTTTGCGCCGTTAAACTTTTTGCTTGGTTGCTTTCTGCTTTGTTGCGTCTTTAATCAACGTCACCTACCTGCAGGGATTCTTCTTCTTCACCCAGGATCACTCTGCCATTAGGTTTTCAGTAAAAAGGGGAGGTGTCAGCTACGCTGCCATATGGCTTATGGACTGAGGGGGCACCCGCCTGACCTGCGTAGGATTGGGTGCCCCAGTCCTTTCCCTGCTTGCCTCTCCTGTTATCTGTAACCTTGTACCACTGTCTAGTTGTAGTGTCTTCATATTAATCAACTGTGTGACTGGTTTCGTTTCCCAGCTCGGCTGCCGCCCTGGGAATCAGGCTGAGAGGTGTGTGGGGGGGGGGGGCGGGTCATTTGAACTCTGTATATCTCAGTAAGCTTTCCCTTTTTACTCAGTGCTTGGGAAAGATTGAAGGTCAAAGAAGACGGGGACGGCAAAGGATGAGATGGTTAGACAGTGTCATAGATGCAACGAACATGAAGTTGAGCCAACTTCAGAGGACGGCGAAAGACAGGAGGGCCTGGCGGGATCTGGTCCATGGGGTCGCGAAGAGTCGGACTGTGCGACTGAACAACAACAACAAACAGTGCTTGTGTTCCTGACCAATAGTACTGACAATAAAGTATATGCTTCTTGGAAGACTGTGCTCCACTTGTTTGACTGTAGGACCTGACAGGAGGTTCAGCTCCCGTTCAGTCTTCTGTCTCTCTGAATGCCTGGAAAGCTGAACAGAAGTCCCCCCCCCCCACCACCACTTCACTAAACACCCAAAAAGTGGGAGATGGTTTTACAGCAGAAAGGTCAGCATCATGAGAACTTGCATAGCAGTTAAGGCAGTGAGCTGTGAGCTTGGAAGTCCTTGGTTCAAATTTCATTTTAGCTGCGTAGACCGCTGGGTGGGTCTTCACTCTCTGTACTAATAGCCTACCTTGCAGTGTTGTTCTACATGCTACTGAGGTAATATATGAGAAGTGTTTTGAATACTAAGGGGGGGAAAGAGTTTTACAGACATACTAGTTTGACAGGGATAGTCATGTTAGAATAAATTTGGTTAGTCTTTAAGGTACTTCTGTTTACTTCTGCTTTAATTCAATGGCAGGATCCAGCCCAAATTTAATTCAATGGCAGGATCCAGCCCAAACTAAGCACTTGCTACGTTCCCTTGATTGTAATATTAGGAAAGAGCTAGGCTCGTAGTGAAACCAACATGACTTTGAGCTAAGCACACATTTAAGTTTCCCCTCATGCAATCAATGTGATTTTAAGATGCTTACTTCTGGCTGAATGGTAGCATTAGAATCACAGCGTCAGAAGAATCCTTTCCACAGATGGGTTCTAATACTATGGCTCAGCTCAGACGATGTCAAAACCACAATCTGCATTAACCGTCTCGGTTAATTTGGTGGTCCCGGAAGTACAGGCCAATCACAGCTTACAGCCGCCACCCCCCCTGCTTCCTTTTACTATATGATCAGCCCATATTTCTATGGGGCAGCAGCCTCTACAGCTGCAGCTATGTGGTCTCTCAGTTCAGAGATATCCCACACGGGCAAATTCTCTCCAAACTGCGGTTTCTGATTCTGGTTTGTTGTGGATTCATACAAAGCAAGGGCTTGGTCCGAAATTCAAACTGGAGCAGTAGCAGCTGGGTGCATGTGGGTGATGCAACCTGCTAAGCTGGGTCTCTTTCCTGCCCTGCATTAGTGGTTTCATCCACATCATTCAGGCTCTCTGGGGGATTCTGATGGCCTCCCAGTGACTCAGGGGCTTCATACCTCTCAGGATCTGCTTTCCCTGTCCCCGCTTGCGCCTGAGCTGCAGTGGACACGTTTGATAGGCAGGCCCACTGAATGCCATTTTCCCAAGATGCTTCACAAACTGCATTTGAGGGACAGGTCAATGAACTCAGAAAGAGGGTTAGCGTGCGAGGCAACTACCAGCTTGGGGGTTTGAATGGTTGATACAGAAGAGGAAATCTTTAAAAATACAGGCCTGGTTGGGACACAAAAATGGGTAGAATTACATTCCTCGGAGGGAGGCAGCCGGTGCTTCTCTCACTCTCCTTCATATAGGAAGCACCAGGTATGAAACAGGTGTGTTGGGTTGGGAAGTTCAAATGGCACAGTCAGCATCACACATGGCTTTATCTGTACACGGGGGGGGGGGGGGCTCCCAGCTGCTCCAGAAGTCTGTCTAAACCAGTAGCCATTTTGGTTCAACCAAGGAAAGAAAATAAGCGACCTAAATTCTGTCTATTGGGCCCGTGTTTTCAATACCAGAAGATTCTAGGCCATGCCGTTCAGGTTCAGGAAAAGGAGCCTCACCTGGTGCTGCACGGCTAGGGTAGCAGATCAATACATGAGCTTGTATCCTACCACACTGCTCACAGAAGTCTGAATGTTTACTTACACGCTTCATTTATTCCCTGCCTTCCTCCCTCCTCAATGGGAACCCAAAGCAGCTTACATAATTCTCCTCCGCCGCTTACACGATTTTATCCTCCCAACAGTCCTGTGAGGTAAGTGAGGCTGTGAGGATGGCAAAATGGCCCAAGGTCACCCAGCGGCCTTCCATGGTGGGGGGGGGGGGCTGGAGCCTGGGTCCTCAAGAGCTCCGCCCAACACTCTCACCCCTCCAGCTTCCTGGTTCCCTTAACATAAGAACATAAGAGAGATGCCAATGTTGGATCAGGCCAAAGGCCCATCCAGTCCAACACTCTGTGTCACACAGTGGCCAGAAATACCAGGGGCCCTCCGGAGGTCCACCAAGTGGGGCCAGGACACTAGAAGCCCTCCCACTGTTGACCCCCGCCAAGCACCAAGAAGACAGAGCATCACTTGCCCCAGAGCCCCTATCTAGACCTTGTGGCTAATAGCCACTGATGGACCTCTGCTCCATATGCCTATCTAATTCCCTTTTGAAGCCGTCCGTGCTTGTAGCCACCACCACTTCCTGTGGCAGTGAATTCACGAGGGTTCCACCAGTGGAAGTGGCTCTACTGCACGCCCCACTCCTTCTCGCCCGGCCTCTGTCCATGGAAGGCTGAGGGCTGTGAAGGCGCTGAAGAGAAAGGGCAGAACATGTGCCGGAAAGGAAGAAAGAGGGCCAAGTGTGGGGAAGATGCAGCACAGGAGGAAGCCAAGAAAGGGGGAGGTGCTACAACAAAACCAGCTGCACTCCTGCTTTGCCCGTGAAATCCAGAAATTAAATCTGAGCCAGACTGTTCCTTGTAAAAATACACTTGGTTTATTAGAAAGCGTCCAGCACATTTCAGGTTGCTCCTCAGTCGAGAGCCATCATTAAAAACAGAGAGCATTCCTTTCACAAGCATTGTTAAAAACATACCTTTTCTTTCCATCACAGTCCCCATATCAAACACAGAATTTTTAAAGTGACATTTTAAAAAAAAATTACATTACTGTAAAAATATAGAAATTTGTAAATTAAGGGGCAAGAGGGAGGGGGCCTAGCCCACTAAATGTTTCCTCTTCTGCGGGAGTGGCTCAGCCTCCTTCCAAGCAGGAATGCACAGAAATGGCCAATAGCGACTTTGACTCTCAGCAAAGAATATTTGTACTTGTGACACTCCAGAGTGTCTCACAGCAAAGAAGGGGGTGGGGCCCGTTTTGTGATTCCGCAAGCACGGTGATTCAGAGCCGGTCCGGGGGGGTGTGAAATATTTTGCTCTCCAGAAATCCAATTTAACACTCAGATGGGGAAGCTGATAGCAGCCGCTCCTTGCAAGACCAAAGCTGCCCTGACGGGAGTGGAGACTGGTGCTATTGCCAAAGGGAAATCAAATGGGAGGGCTCAGACCTATTCCGCTGAGTTGGCTTTTGCAGCCAGACAGAAGTTGGCATTTCTTGCAGCCAGACAGACTCGGTTGTGCCTTTGAGCAAGATGGCCGGACTGTGTGGGACATGCGAAGCCTAAGACAGTTATGGAGCCACTAAGCAAGTCACAGGGACCAGCCAGCTCCAAACTGAAGTGCTTTAAACCTCATCGATTTAAATGGGAAGCTAAACAGAGGATTGCAACATTCCTATTCAAATCAATGGGGTCTGCAAATGCTTCATTTTGTCTTGTGTATTTCACTGGATCAGGAAAGCAACTGGCTTCGCCCAGCTCCTTCCCAGGATAGTCTCGCCAGAGTTTCACACAGGGCTGGATGAAGGCATTTGCACTCTGGCAGAACGGAGACTCACCCAGGGCTCTTTTTGTAGAAAAAGCCCAGCAAGAACTCATTAGCATATTGGGCCACACCCAACAGCAGAAACTCATTAGCACATTAGGCCACACCCATGACAGCACAGCACATTAGCATATTAGGCCACACCCCCATGTTACCCGAAGGGTGGTCATCCAGCCACACCCACCTTTCCCTTCTTATTCTGTTTACCTTGTTTGTTGTCAACACCCAGGGCTTTTTTTGTAGCAGGAACTCCTTTGCATGTTAGGCCACACACCCCGAATGTAGCCAATCCTAATGAGTTTCTGCTGTTGGGTGTGGCCTATTATGCTAATTAGTTCCTGCTGGGTGTGGCCAGCTCGGGAGCCAGCCAGAACTCCGTTCCTGTGCGTTCCTGCCCAAAAATAGCCCGGCTCACAGCCATGTTTTAAGTGGCCAGCCAGAAGTGTTCAGAAGTACCGGGGTGGAAGGTGTTGCTTCACATTCTTTCTCTTCAAGAGGAATGTGTTGAGGCAACCACAATCCATCCCCTCCCTTCAGGTACTTATTGACACCCTCATGATTCCTAGCATGCAGGCCAAAGCGGAGGACCTTTGCTCTAAGGAAAGGGCCCCGATCCCCCCACTGCACGATAAATCAGTCGACCCAAGTATTGTATAGGATATGACAGCCACACATTGGCTTTCGTGCAAAACTATTTTTCCCTTGCAGATACAGCAGGAAAAAGTCTTTACTCAAAAGAGGCTGGGAG